ACAATGAGGGTAGATAAGTCAGTGGAAAAGTTTAAGAAAAGCAAATTGTAAGGGGGCAAGGAAATAGCTGAATGAGGAAGATAAAAATCTGTAGGCAGATGAGCAGATTCTGTTAACTGTTTCAGGTATTATTTTTGGCTCCTGGTTTTGGCTGTGGCCCTCTTTGGCAGAAGAAAATTTATTTTCCTACAAGAATAAGGGAACTACAAATACCTGGAGGCCAATTCAGATATAAGCATAACTATGCACAGATTACTGTCTTCTTGGATGATATAACATCACTTGGCAATGAATTTATTTCTGAGGCCATGCCAAGGGCTCCATCTCTTTGCTACCATGTCAGTTTCTAGAGAAAGTGGAGTCTTTGCCCATATTCCTGGAGCTTAGCTCTTTGTCCCTGATGGAAGAAGGGAATATATTCCAGTGAGCTTCTAATGAAGTTTGAGGGTGAATCCGCAGGGTAAGCAAATCTTGACATAGAAGTATCTATGGACATGTCAGAATAAGGTCAATTTGAGAACTACTTTGCTAAATTTTGATAATGACTCATATTTTTACAAATGTATTTATTTGATACAGGGTCCTGCTATACAGTTCAGACTTGTAGTGATCCTCCTGTCGCAGTTTCCCCAGTGCTGGGATTATAGGTGTACACTACCTCACCCAGTTTGGGGGCCAGCATGGCATATCCTGTTATGAGACCAGCATGGCATACGGTACCTGGGTTTGAACCCAGGTCCTTGCAATTGCCAGCCAGACACTTAGACCGCCATGCTATTTCCCCAGCCTATGACTCATATCCTTATGCCATGGGCTTCAGTTACTAGTCTAAAGATACATGACATCATTATTAGTATCATTGATTCTTTCAACACATATTTGTAAATATAATTAAAGTACTACTGAGCTTTGGAAGGTCGTAATGCACTGCTCTTTTCTTATCACAACTCACAAGTTATGGAAATAGTGTGTAGAAGTTTCTCCTCATAATCCTTTTTTTTTTTTTTTCCAGAACCGGGGATTGAACTCAGGCCCTTGCACTTGCGAGGAAAACGCTTATTCCACTGCACCATCTCTCTGGCCTCATAATCTATTTTTATGAATTTTTGTTTGGTTGCTTGCTTGTTGGAGGTACTGGGAGTTAATCAAAGGACATTCACACTAAACTATATCCTTAGCCCTTTTTTATTTTATGAGGTCTCACTAAGTTGCTAAGTTTCCCATACTGGGATCAAAGTTTGAATTCTCCTTCTGCAGCCTCTCAGAATTCTGGGATTATAGGCATGTATCACCATGCCTAGCTGTGAGTTTCTTCATGCAAATAAGAGAAGATCTGAAGTTTTGTTCTATGATGCCTTTGATAATTCTGCTTTTGACTTCCTTCATTCTGTGTAAGGCACTAAGGATAAGAGTATTTATATCATAAAATCATATGCACAGGACAAGGTAGTCAACAATGGACCACAGATACTGTGGCAGTCCCACAGGGCTGCACTGCCTTGTATCAGTTTAGCTGTTTCAGCTTTTGGAAATGCTCTCCAAAGCCACATAGCTAAGCAAACACTTCCTGATGCATTTCTCAGGTGGATCCTAGATGATGGAGCGAATCCCCTCTGCACTTTGTCGAATAATTCAACTTCTAGGAACCTTGGTTTTTTTATTTACAAATAGGATCTTGTTAAAACTACATGTTAAATTGTTAAACTTAGGTGGTTGTACACAAGTGCTGAAATACATTCAGCAAAAGGTATCAGTGGCTATACTTATTATCATGTTAATGCCTGTGCATCACTCTCACCCAAGCTTGGAAGGATGCTTTTTGTCCTTTCCATTCACACAAAGTCAATTTTCAATTTTGGGTGGCTCCAACTTGAAAATGTGCCTCTCTTTTTCCATTTCAATTGCCCCCTTCCAAACTCATTTTCCTAACTCCATCTTCCTTCCTTAAGTGATTTGGGCAAGCAGATAATTGCTGCCCATTGGGTTGGGCAACCAGACAACTCATCCTGGAACAAATGAATGGCTTAGTCTCTCCTCAGTATCCTTAGTACCAGTGCTACTATTAGAGCTACCCAGTCATATCTCTCTAATAGCACTCTCCTGTGTCTGAAAAGAACCCTGACCTAACTTCTGTCAGAGTCCTTAACCTTGTCTTCTAGATCCAACTCATCCTTTAGACTCACTTCAAAGCCTACTTCTCTTGACTCTAATTAGGTCACACTTTGGCTTATCTGTTACAGGGTATCTAGGACATGCTATCACTGCTGTAGTGTATATTTGATACTGAAATATATTTTGGAAATGTTATACAGTAATAGTGAAAAGGAAAGCATTGACATTAGATGGTTGAGGTAATTAAATTAAATAGAGCTGGGTGTGGTTGTGCCTCCCTATAATCCTATTACTCTAGAGACTGAAGCAGGATGGTAGAAAGTTCTAGAAGCCAGGCCAGTCTGAGCTATAGATTCCAAACCTGTCTCCAAAACAAAACAACCAACAAGATCAACACTAAGTAGAATGCCTATCCACAGCAAGTGGTGGAAAACGATTAGCTATCCCTAGCCAGGTGTGATGGTACATACCTGTACTTTCTGTATGCTGGGCAGCTGAATTAGAAAGCTTAGAAGTTTAAGTCCAGCATGAGCAACTTAACCATTTAGTGGGGACTGGTTTCAAAAATGTTTAAATATTTAAGAAAATGTACAGAAGCAGCTCAATGGGAAGACCCCAAATTCAACCCCCATATTATAAAACTAAAAGCAAAACTCTATTCTTAGTAATAAATTATGCACATATATTTTCCAATTCCAATTTTCCTAGATGACAATGATCTTCTCGTACTGATGACACTCTTTCTTTCTTTTTTCTTTTTTTTTTTTTCTTTTTTTTTTTGGGGAACCGGGGATTGAACTCAGGTCCTTGCACTTGCCAAGGAAGTGCTTCTTCCCCTGAGCCATCTCCCTACTCTTTCTAACATTTAGCCCTGCTGGGTTGTATTAGATTTGCAGTCAGAAATAATGGTTCACAAACTGATTTCTTCTAGGCCTGTGCTCCCTTCATCCTTAACATGCAAGGTATGTGCTAACTCACATTGCCTGATTGATATATGTTGCAAGGTGTTTTGTGCTCAATGTTTGGTTAGAGTTGATTAAGGAAACTGTATAAGTCAGGTATACATGTGAATAAAACAATTGTTATCAAGTGATATGTCATTATAATTACAATTAATATCCCCTATTGCATTTACTCCTAAGAAGTGCCAAGTAGCTTGTTAAGGACTGCTCTGAAATGTTTTCTTCGGAAGTGCCCTTATCTTGCTGAACTTTTGCATAATAATTGACCCAAAAAGTAGCAGTTTAGCCGCAGAGCTAAAAACCCCTAGCTGGACTGCTTTCCATTTTGCAGACTGGTTGCACTGAGGTTTACAGAGGACCCAGACCTCTCCTCTGGTTACCTCCTCATCCTGAAAGAGCGGTGGCTACACGGGAGATTATTTCTTGTATATTCCAAAATAAGTTGGTCTTTTCCAGAGTGATTAGCCTGCTATTTTGTCTTCTGAATATTGTAACTGTGTGTCGGGAGAGATGGGTGAGCCCTCCTGCCTTGCCTGATGAGAAGACTGGAGGCAAATGTGAGCCTCCTCTGGAGCTGCAGTTCTGGGATTGAGGTCACAGTTTCCTACTGGCTTTCTCCCTGATTCTATTTTATCCAATATTATTACCTTTTACTATCAGTCATCTTAGTTGAGTCCAGTATCCTTAAATGTGCTCATGGACAACCAATACGGATGTGACCAATGCTGACCTTTTCGGTTGCTTTGTTTTGTGCCCTTTCTGCTAGGTTTGAGGCCCGCTGTCCCTTTGGAACCCCAGGCCTTTGGAGGCTGGCACAGCTGGACTTGAGTTCCAGCCTTGACACTTAATAACTGTGAGTTTTGGACAAGTCCTTTAATCTTTCTGACTTTCCTCTCTGTAAAATGAAAATAATAATCCATAATTCACGGAGCTGTCTTGGGGGATTAAATAAAATAACTCATGTAAATTACTTTGTGCATAGTAGGCACTCAATAAACGTCAGTTCACTTCTCCCAGTTAATAATGCTTATTAGAGTATATTAAAAACTAGAACCAGTCTGTGATAATGTATTTCTTTATTTATTAAGTATTTAAGCCAAATAACTAATCTCTCCTAGGGGAAGAGAAATGTTGAACTTATTTATTAAGTTCATTTGGTGAACTTATTTTCCTATGGTGAATTTATTTATTAATCTCATTGTCTTCGGGATTACTTGGTCTCATAGGTCATCATTTAATTTGCATGCTACAGAATGACACAATGTGTTTTCCCCCCCCCCCACAATTTCGTGTTTTAACTCAACTATGATAACACTGGTTCTCCAAAAATTACCTATTATTCCATACGCCATTTATTAGAGATCATTATTAATTATACCAACAGCTTGGTCGTGTTTGTCACTATTTCTTGCTGGCGAACTTTCGCCTGCCAGTTTTACTGAGGTCTGAGGGTTTTAAAAACAAGTAAGTTACCAATGGCAGTGTTACAGCAAAAAAGAAAGAAAGAAAGAAAAAGAAAAACGGGTTGGGGCATAAGAGACCAAGCCATCTAATGTTCTTTCGTGTTAATTTTGCAGGTCTACATTTAAGTGGAACCACGTTTTCCTCAAGGACGCGACGTAAGTGAGCCGGCCAGGCAGAGAAGTGGAACCTGAGCTGGAAGGACGCTACCACTGTACCTTTAAGGACTGGGGATTTGGTGTTAGCTCAGCCTCCTTCCTGGCCCACCTCTGAACTCTGATTGACAGGGCGCCGCGAGGGGAGGAGCCGAAGGAGCCCGAAGAGGAGGCCCAGGGAGCGAGGGAGGGGGAGGAAGAGACCGTCTTTTAGCTGCTGGCCAATCAGAGAAGGGGGCGTGGCTCCAAGAGCCCGCCTCCCTCCTTCTCTCCCCCGCCTCTTGGCTTTCCCGCCCCCTCCCCCCTTCCCTCTTCCCTCTGCCCCCTCCCCTCTCCTCCTTCTCGTCCTCCTCCTCCTCCTTCTCCTCCTCCTCTCAGGCTGTGGTTTTTCTGTATATGTTTCTGGAGTCCTGAGCCTGGGCTAAACAAAAGCAGGAGGCTGACGGGGCTGCTGGAGTTTGCAGAGACACAGAGGAGGAGAGAGCTTGGGCTTTGCCTGCCACCGCTGCTGGGGGAGATCTGGCTTTTGCAACAGCCCACCCCCTTTGAGATCACTCTGGCCCGGAGTGGGGGTGGGGGGCAGCGGGGGGTGGGGGGGGAAAGTTTGCATTGCAATCCCCCTGCCTTCCTCTCCTTTCTCCCGATCAATGCATATTTGCAAAAGGATTAAGCCACAGATTTAAGCGCCGGGAGCCCATTTCTGCCTTGTAAAGGAGATCGGACTGAAAAACCAAAAGCCAGCTCTGATTTCTTTTCGCCAAGTGGGAAGGTGGTTTATTTTTCTTGCTTTTTGGAGTCAACACCCTTCCCCACCAGCCCTCCTCCCCACCCTCACCCCGCAACCCCTTCACGCCCCCTCCCCCTCCCCACTCCCCACCCTCCCACCATCCTCTAAAGAGGCAAAGGGAATTTTTTTCTTCTTCTTCTTTTGGTCTTCTTTTTTTCCCCCTTCCCTGTTTATCCTGAAAAGGATTTGAAGACAGCTTGAAGGATAAAAAGCCCGGTGCTTCCCAGGAGCCGAGCCCAGGCGCAGAAGAGGAAGAGCCGAGGGCTGCCGTAGCCTTTGGAGATGGACGAGCAGCCCAGGCTGATGCATTCCCACGCTGGGGTCGGGATGGCCGGACACCCCGGCCTGTCCCAGCACTTGCAGGATGGGGCCGGAGGGACCGAGGGGGAGGGCGGGAGGAAGCAGGACATTGGAGACATTTTACAGCAAATTATGACCATCACAGACCAGAGTTTGGATGAGGCGCAGGCCAGGTGAGATGGAGGCTTTTCTTTTCCTTTCTTGGGTTTTTTTGTTTTGTTTTGTTTTTTTCCCTCTCGCAGGGGGAAACAATGGGAACCGAATCACCACAGCGCTTTCTTTTAAAATGTAGTTTCTTATCCCATTTTTTTGACAAGTAACTACATGGCGGAGGAGTAAAATTTGAAGAAGCGTTGTTATCGAAAGTGTAATCGTCCAGGCTGTAATGTGGCTGTGTACATATTGTGCGTGCGTGTGTGTGTGTGTTCGTGTGTGTGAATATAGAGGTATTCATATAGACCCACACAAGCACTCAGGCACGCCAAAATACTGCCAACTGATCCAAAAGCGGCCCTCGGCACTTTTTACTGCTTTAAAAAAAGTGTAAGAGAGAGCTGAATTGTCAAGTTCAGAGCAGTATTCCATGCCTTCTGGTTGAAGGACTTCCTAACACTACCAAACACAATGTCCCAAAAACTCTATTTGCAAATTCAACTGGCTATTTAGCTAACTCGGCTACTTTGATTTCCCTTCTTGACTCACCCTCCAAAATTATTATCTTTTTTCCTTTCTCATCTCAACCAAATGCAGAACAAATCAACAACAACATCAACAACAACAAAAACAGGGTATTTCTTTGTCACTCGTCAGCATTCACAAAATATTTTGCACTCACTTAATTCTGTTTTTAGGAAAAGCTAATGGCAAAACAGCAAAGATAATTTTGCTCTTGGGCACATATGCTAGTTTCAAGAGCCTCAGGTTTTTAGTTTAACTTTATTGTCTCTTAATTTGAGTTGGTTTGCCTGCCTTCTGTGACACAGGCAACTAAATGTGGTCCTTTAAGAAAAGAACAGGGGGACAAAAATCAAGTATGCTCTTTCCCCATGCTTCTTTCTGACCACTTAGAATGCAGCTAAAGAAGGAAAAGCTTGTGGGAGTTTTATGTATTTGGATACTATAGGACACAAAGATGTTCGTTAAAGAAACATAATGAAGAAACTAGCTTCCTAACTTAATCCACCGCCAGGTATGTAGTTCTGAACTCTAGGATTTTATAGAAAATTCTCTTTCAAAAGAAAATACAGACTTAAGTAACAACCAGCAAGCCCAAGGCCGAACTTGAAAGGGAGAATTTTAAAAAGATCTAATGACCACATATGTCTCTACAGTTACTCAGCTTTGTTGGCTCTTTGAAGTGTTTTTTTTTTTTAATTTGAAAATCTTTTAGCCATATATACAAGTGAGTTAGTGGCATGGAAAAGACATGCTATGTAATTTTTTCTAAGGGAAATAGAAATTGGAGTTGGAGAAATTAGAGGAAACACCTAAGAGCTTGGATGTAGTGAATCACACTCTGTTTTTGCTTGCAGCACATGCAACATGTAACCCCAAAAGTACGAAGCTTTACGGGTGCTCCGAAACTAGCAAATGTTAAAAGACTAGAACTATTCTAATTTTTTTTTAAATAGGAGAAAGGTTTTTACAATGCATTGGTACTCTTTTTGAATTTCATTATCTGGTGAAAAGCTCATAAATACAGTAAATGGACAATTTTCCCCTGGCAGTTCTCTTTTCATGGGAGCAGCTTTCACTGTTATATTGGTCCAGGAAAATACATTCAGACATACCAGTAAACTGGCTTGCTCACAAGTTTGTAAGCTAGAAGGAATCAGCAAGAACAGACACTCACTATTTCTCTGGTGTTCAGTCCCTCTCTCTCTCTCTCTCTCTCTTTTTTTTGGTGGAACTTAGGACTGGCATTGCTCAGCGGGTCCCCCGTTAATGGCCTACAAGCTCAGAGATCAGATACAATTTTGGAAGAGGGGACATTTTCAGTTTTCCCTCTATAATTCCATTTGTAGAACTGTAGCAATGTAGTATTTCTATACAGCGGTGTGGGAATTTTTGTCTGCGTTTGGGCCTGTGTATAAGAATACATTTAGTGAAAACTGTTTTAAAAGAGGAAGGGAAGATAAGATCTTTAAGAATCAAGTCTTTTTCTTTCTCTGCTCTCTATGAAAAATGACTAAATTGGCTGCTATGTTTTCTTTTTGGTTAAACAACGTAACTACTTTAGCAAGACTATGTTCTGTTTTCCTTTTCTCGGTCACATCTTTATAAATGTGCATTTGTTGAGTCAAAGGCAATGGTTACTGCTTTAAATACAATGTATATGTACATTTTGATAGCCTTGAATTTTGAGTTTATTATTCTCCCTTGTATGGTAGACAGAACATTCTTGTAATCTCTGTTCTTCATGAAGATGTTTCCTTCCTTTTTGCTAACTTTCAAAAGGATTAAAAAAGAATTGCATTTGTTTTGAGTGCCAGGGCTTTTCATTTAGCATTACACATTATTTTAAGTTAGTACATAGAATTATGTTACCTAATAGCTGGTATGATTAGTATTTTACTTCCAAAACAGTATTATTTTGCCAAGTGATTCCATGATAAACTAGAAGGAAAGGCGTCCCTTGGTTCCTCAAGTGCATTCCAAAAATACAAACACAGAGAGACAACAGAACCAGGTAAATCACTAATCTAAAAGGCACAATTGTATTTATTTTTCCCCCAATGGTGCAAGGTCCTAATTGTAAATAATTGAATTTCAACACCTGCAAATAAGCAGTGTGTGCACAAGAGGCATAATGTGAACACAGAGAAATGAATTTATTCCCCATATGGGTATGTTTGCCCCCTGGCAATGCATTTCCATACTCTTTAACTTGGGGACTGAAATTTTATAAATTGACAGTTCTACTGAAAAGACCTTTCAAGCATCTTGTGTTTATGAGAATACAGGGGCATCTGCAGAATGAATTCGAACACATGGATGAATTAAATTTGAAAACACACACACACACACACACACACACACACACACTAGTTGAGAAGCAGACAGCTCCTAGGCTGTGGTCTTTGCATAGATTGCATAAAACTGCATTTGGCTTTGCTGTATTCATTGCTCTGTATAAAATTATTGGTTTAAGAATTCTTCTTTGATTAAACTATTATAAAAAAAATCTCTCCCTAAATGGACATAATTTAGGTTAGTTCTGTTCTGTACTTAAATCTCTACTCTTGTTGCTAATTAACATTAGTTCTTTCTCTATGGCGGGACTTTGTATGTATTAAGTCATAAAAACAATTGAAGTATGCCACAGAGTTAGACTCAGTCTGTAATTTTGCCTAAATGTTTAGATTTGCCCCTTTGTATTATCAGTTATTCAATCTTGAGAATCCACCTAAGCTATCATGCTGTTGTTTTTTCTTACAGAAAACATGCTCTAAATTGCCACAGAATGAAGCCTGCCTTGTTTAATGTGTTGTGTGAAATCAAAGAAAAAACAGGTAGGAACGAGAATCCAACATTTTGACATTTTCTTTGGCCAACTGAATCCTTAACCAGCAATCATGAGCCTTTATTTAAATGTAAAAATTCAGAATCAAAGTGCAGTCATGGTTGTCCATATGCTTGTCATAGAATGTCCTAGTCCTGCTTGCTTAAGAAAAAAAAGCATCAAGTTTCTTTGACAGTTATTTTCAAGCTTTATAGATTTATTTTCCTTAACTCTATTCTCAGTCTTTTTTAAAAACAAAAATGGAGTCAAAATGTAGGTTGTGAAGGGAAATTTATGGACTCGTGTATCTTGTGGAAGAAATGGAAGTAAAAAGTCTGTTTCCCAAAGGAATATATTTTGGCCCATAATTAAAATCCTATATTTTTGGTGTTGTGTATAAGGGGGTGTACTGTTTAAGTTTCTTTTGCTTTCTCTCTTGTTCTTTCTGCTGTTTACACAGCAGACTAGAGGTTCTTAAAAGGGACTGTGTGGAAAGTGCAGTGCAACATTAGGTTATCGGTATTTGAATGGCCTGTGATTTTATAGCAAGGAGAATTGTTGGGTTTAGAAGAGCATACTACCTTGCAATCCCTCACTCTCTTGTTTTTCTACTTCCTAAACCTCGTATCATGGACTAACACACTTATAACACATCCCAGGAGGGCATTTAAATTTTAAAGCAACAATTAAAAAATAGCAGTCATCAATCAGAGGTGTTCTTAAACAACAGATGCTCAGGGAAGGACATTTAGCAACATCCTCTTGTTTGTTTATTTTAATCCTTAATTTTCCAAAGTGGTTAAATCTCTCCCTTGTAAGAAGAAAGAGTTGAGGAGGAGGCAATCTGAAACCGGGACAGAAAGGACAGAAAGACAAGGGACACAGGGGTGGTTACATAAAGCGGTAGCTTTTGCGGGGTTCTGACTTTCCTGCTCACTTGAAAGCCCAGGGCGAAGTACCTGACGCCTTATTTATTTATTTATTTATTTATTTATTACAACAAGGAGTGTAACCGTCAATAATTCACATCTAAACCATATAAGCAAGGGCATGACATGAATGAAAGTGACAATAAATATGATTGCATGCCCAGTTGATATACATTGATAGCTACACATAAAAAAAGGAAGAGGGGACATTGAGGAAGGCTTTCTCTTTTTGAGCTCCCTCTGTTATGCCTTTAAAAAATACATAGTTTCAAGATGTGACTGTTGGATGAATATGTAATTACTTAGGTCTTCAAATGTATATAAAATTAATAAAGCGGGTCCTTTGTTGTCTGTTATTGGTGTTGTACATCCCAGACAAAGCACCTGAAAAGTGATGTTCAGACCTTTGAATCCTCCCCATTGCTTTGCCAAAGACTAACCTGATTGCCAACCTGATAATTGCATTATTTTAGCTGTGAGACACCTTTTAAGACATTTATGGATTGTGCATACAAATATCAAAAGACCTTTTTTTTCAGTTTGTCACACTTTCTAGTTTTGTTTTTGTTTTTGTTTTTGTTTTCCTACTAGCCCAGAATAAGAAAAGTTAAGTGTGTATATATAGGTACATACATTTTTTTTTTCTTTTCTTCCTCTTCTTTTTTTCCTTCAATCTCTGATTTTTATTTATTTTGCATACTTGCTTGAATTTGTTGAAATTTGTTTCTAATTGAGTATGTGTTCCTACTGGTTTTAGTTCATAAAATGTAAGATCAAGATTTAAAAAAGATATGTTGCAATACAGACTGAGGAGACTTTTATTTTTGAAGATGTTTTATAAGATTTTTATTAGAAGGGACACAGCAAGGGCACTTAAGTGTACACTGGGACCAACGTGCTTAGCTCTGCTTTCCAGATTCAAATCCACCGAGGCAGTAGGTACAAGTGGGTGGGTGCAAGCAGAGGACAAGTTCAGGTGTTGCTCAGAGTTTTCAGTAAAAGTCTTGTGAAAGGAAAACTTGCAGTGGTCAAAATATTGTTCTAAATGCGTCATTTTCTAGTTGGAATACATAATATGCTACTTGAAATAATTTTATGAACACATTTAATGTGTGAAGACTGAATATCTAAGATCAACTTGTGCATCGTTTCTAGAATTATATGTTTTTCAAAATAGTTGTGGAATAATGTAGATAGAATGTGTAAGTGTCATTGTCTCCAGTGTTGAGGGGGACATTCACGGTCTTGGACCAAGATGACACCTTTGGGTAAAAGTTGAAAAACAAAACAAAAATAAACAAACAAAAAAATCCAACCTCCCTCTTAATCTTCACCCTGGGCCCTGGAAGGACTAAGGGAAGGAAGAAACTAGAAGTCAACTGTGGTATGTTGAAAAGAACGCTTTGATTATAAAGCAGGGGAACTTCGCTACTCCGATTCCGTGGCACCTTTGTACTTTGCGCGAACTCAGCTTCCGAGTGATGGATGCGCTGGGGTAGTACAAAGTGTCTGTGAAGTTAGACGTGCATTTGGGGCTGTGTGTTTTCTTTCTTTCTTTTTCTTTTACCTTTTTTTTTTTTTTTTTTTTTTTTTTTTGCTTCTCTCCTGATACAGAGCTAAGGAAAAGACCCCTTGATCAGTTCACAAATATTCCCTTATTGTTTTGGAACATTTCCTATTGTTCCTGTGCTGCTCTCAGCTTTTGGTGAGTGTTTTTAAGCAGCTGTCTGAAGCTCTGTAGAAGGTACTTGACTTTGGGTGGCCTTTGTGTGCTCTAACGTGAGGTTCATACTTGTGCTCATCTAGGCAGAGCTCTGGAGAGGACCCTGGTAATTGCATTCATTCATCTGCTTTGGTTTTTTTAAAAAATGATTTTAGTTGAAGGATGCAGAACTAAATAGGAAAACTGTCTCAGTTGTCTCATCAACCTTTTGTAACTTTAAAAAAACACACACATGTGCATAATACCCAAAGTAGGCAGTGAATCTGAATTACAGTTGATTGATGGGTTTTTAAGTCAGAGATTATTGTCAGAATATTAAAAATAAAGCAAAGGCACCCGTGTGTGTGTTTGCTTCAGAATGTGACAAGTTTTTATTTTGATAATTTTTACTTTTTTGAAAGTGAATGAGAAGATAGAAGCAGGAAAATGCTCAGGTGGCGAGCTTTAGACAACAGCAGGAAAAAACGCTTCAGACATAGCGCAGTGTGTGTGTCAGATGTGGCTTTAATCGGCATGTTCAGTCTAGGAACATAGACACTTAATGTAATAGTTTGGATCATTTATTATCTCTCCTTTTCTCTTTCTCTCTCCTCCTTTTCTCTCTCTTCCTCCTTTCTCTCTTCCTCTTTCTTCTTCCTTTTTCTCTCATCCTTTCTCTCCTTTTTTTTTCTTTCTCCTTTTCTGAACGACTTGTCTTCTGACATCTTAGCAGTAGGCTAGTAGGCATTGTGCACGTGCATATATGTGGTAGGCACTGAGTTTCATGAGGTAGAACAGAAAAGAAAAAGCCAACATTGCTTTTCTGAAAAAAGACTCAATTATTTTAAAGTATTTCTTGATTTTTTTTTTGCTACGTGTCCAAATTATGCGGCTTTAAAAATTGGAAAAAAGATAAAAAAAATTCGGTACCATTTACTAAGGAGAATATTTATAGATAGCAATGAACAGTTGCAATTGTTGTGAGTGGTTTTTAATTTTAGACTGTAATAGCTATATATGGCACTGTTCAGCCAATTTTCCTCTGCACATAATCTGCACTGAAGTTAAATCAAATCATCGGAGGAGGTTAAAAATTATTTTTTGCTTCCTTAACACCCTTTTGTTCTCTCTCCCTTTCTCACTGTGTTCAATTAGCAGTCCCATCACGGAACTGTAGGTTATATTTTTAAGTCTACTACTGTATTTCTTTTCTGACACCTTCCTTTATTATTCCTGTCTGCCCCTTCTTTTTATATAGCAATTACATTATGGGGCTTCTACTCTCCTTTTTCTTTAAAGCATTAAAGAATAATTTTTGTGTTTGTGAGTCTTAAGTTTATATACACGGGTTGGGGGACTACACTGGAAGAATGCTGCATATTCCAGGGAAGCAATTCTGATGACATGAATCCTGAAGTACAGCAGGACTGAGGTAACTTTAGCCAGTTCAGAGCAGCTTCCAATTTCTTTTGGAGTTGAAGCAGGAGGGGTGCTTTTGTAGAAGTCCATCCATAGCAGGCAAAAGCAAAAACTTTTCTTGCTGATAGAAGAATTCAAGATTTTGGTCCTTGTTGATTTTTGTTCTCTTTTCCTTTCCTTTTTATCTTATTTTTATTCTTCTTTTCTATGGAAAGTACTAAGGAGAGGAAAGAAGGTGTCAGGGAGGAAGATACAATTTAGTTTTGTATGTCGACCAGCCTTCAGGCAGAGCAGCAGAGCTTAGACTATTTCTTGGGATACTACTCTCTGAAAACACAATAGAAGGTGAATTTGGGCCGTGCTCTGTGTCTTCTGTCCAGGAACTTTTGCTCGCTCCATTTGAGAAATAAGGAGAATGGAGCACAGGGAGCCACTTGGTCACAGCTCCCAGGAGAGTTTTGGAAATGTGGCGTCGCCGGTGTTGGTGTCGTTTGTTCTAACCAGAGGGGTGTCTGTGGAGCTTGCATGACAGTGGTTAAGCCTTCATGGTGACTGTTAGAGGCTTTGTGAGAGGGCAAATGTGGAGAAGACCGTGTGACCTAAAGTAGTCACCGTGGGAGCCGGGAGGGAAGGAGAGTGAGAACACCAGGTGGCCCTCAGGCTGTGCCTGGGGGCGGGGCTTTACCTGCGCTCCAGGATCTGGCTCCCTGCTGGGGCCTGGCTGTTTCACCTGCTCTTGCCCTGTGTTCTGTTGACACCAGGAACTTTTACCAAAATGCCCCTAAGCAAGCAAACAAACCAAAGCCAAGATATGGAGCAGATGTAAATAGGAAGGTATCTTAACTTTGATTTTAAAGCAAAACTGTGATTTCTTTTTTTGAGATAGTTTACTTAAGTGGTGTAGGGAGGCTTATCTTTAATTTTGGTTTCAAATATCATTTAGAGGGAAGCTGTTAGGTT